CTGCTAAACTTCCACCAAATAAAAAGCTGTTTGTGTTTTGGCTGCTGCAGTGGCCATTTTAGGTAAGAAGCGCCCTTTAACTTTTAGATGCGGTCTGTCGTTGTGGATGCGTGAAGGAAACAGAGGTGTGTGGACTGGACTGTAGCGGAAAAGCAGTGCAGGACTCCCGCATCCAGACTGAATGAACTCCACGAAGCTGCTAGCTTTATGTGGATTAACTGGATATTGCCCTGCTGCGCTGCGCTCCGCTCCTCCTCCCTCCCTCCCTCCCTTCCTCCCCTCTCCTCCCTCCCTCTCCTCTCCTCTCCTCTCCCCTCCCCTCCCCATCTCTCTGGCCTCTCTCCCCTCCCTCCCCCGCCTGCTAATTTTTATGCATTTTTCTAAACTGTCATGGCGATTTTGTGTCCTTGGAAATAAAAAGCGCCAGTGTTTTTCGGGCTAACCGGGGTGATGTCTCGCCGGTGAGAGCGTGTGTCCGGTGTCCGGAGCAGGTGAGCAGTCCGCCGTGGAGGGTTTTTCGGTGGAGAGATGTGCCCGAGAAGGAGTTTTAGAGGCTGTCCACACGTGTAAGGAGAGGGCTGTTATAATGTATTTACAACAGCGATGCAGTGACATTACACAGCTAGCGGAGAAAGCTAGCTCGTTAGCTGCGGATGCTAACATGAAACAGGGCATAATGTCTCATTTTCCCTGCCGGCGTGTGTTTTGTGCTTTTCATCCCAAGTCGCCGTTTTGCTCGCCGGGAACTTCTATTTTCCTCCTAGCTAGCTCTCCCAACTTGTGGCAATCCCGCGGCTTGCAACATTCAAGCTAGCAGCGTGTTAGCCCCTGCGTCTGCTAGCGTTCATTATAGCCAAAACCTCAAAGAGGTGTAAGCTAGGTTGTTAGCCTGTTAGCTTTTTGAAAGATTTGTAGGTATAGCAGCCAGGTGTGTGTGCGCAGGCATATGAGTCATACAAGATAAGCTACACTGAATCATGAAGTGATTGTGCTGTCCGTCCATCCACACGCTTTTACCTGGCCAGGTGTAACACCCTTGGGCAACAGACAAAGGGTGCCAGTAGCAAACCCATTATACAGCACTCTGACTTTAGTGATACCTGTGTAACACGTGAGTGAAATCCCTTAAAGCTGAATAGGTTTTCCCGTTATATCCAGATTTTAGTGTCAGGAATTTGCAGCCAGCATGACAAGAGGACGTTTGGTCCCTGCCTGTCAGGATGGTGCTGGGCTGTTTTTGTATCTGATTTCAGCACAAACTGCTTCAAAACTGCCCAATACTACAGTTCCAGACCTCTAACCTGTAAACTCCATATGTTATTTTGTTATGAATCCATCCAACCAGCGTTCATCCATTTTCTGCTGCTTAACCAGGTCCTGAATAATGATTGATTATATAATTTTGTAATTATATAATTGTTAATTATTGCGCTGTCGCCGCTGCGCCCCGGGTTCGAGTCAGGGTTGCGTCAGGAAGGGCATCCGGCGTAAAACACGTGTCAAATGTCAACATGCCAGTCGACAGTGTGACGACCCCTAAACAGGAAAAGCCTAAAGTGACTTTCTATTGTTATGTACTGCTGGGAGATGCTGACAAAACTATGGCGTAAATATAAATAATTATTGGAATATATTATAATTGGAATGAGACACCATTATATCTGGTGTCCTAAACTTAATTTAGTGAAACTTGGAGAATTCCTGTCCACAGTTTCTGTATTTGGTAGCAAATGTACAGTTTGGACTGGAACTGTGTTTCATTTCTTGTTCTCTGTCTGGTCTGGTAGTAGTGCTTTTCTCTGGGTTGCTGGTTCGAGTCTCGTTCTGCGTGGGTGGTTTCAGGATGACACTGGTGTCATACAAGGAAGCCTGGTGGCCCAGCGGTTTTACACCTCGCAGGGTGAAGCTCTGTCTTTGCTTTGGTCTTGTTGTGTTTGGATGTTCTTTCCTCCCACAGCCAAAACATATGCAGCCTACTATGGGCTGTTAATCTGAACATGCCTCTCTGCCTACTTTATCACCCATTGTATTAGCCTAAACTTTTTGCTGCCTCCTTGCAGAACCGCTGCTGCACTTTGACTATGTCACTAGAAGAAGTTGCATGGGCGAGGAGGCAAGAGCATTTACGCACACAGTTAGTTCTACTTTATTACACGAGGCAAATGTGAGTAACAGAATCATCTGCAGTGCTGTGTTCACACTGAGGCAGGATAAATCCATGACAGCAGATGTTTCCAGCTGCTGTTTGTAGAGAAAACAGTGAGATCAGAGAGCCAGCACAGAGTTGGAGACCAGCTGGTTTTGGACATGTGGCCTTTCTGTTAGAGCACACCTTTACTCTGCCGATAAACTGTTTAGTAACAATAAGTGTGTTTTTTTGTAGCAGTGCTTGTTCATTCTGTTTCTGTTTGACAGTTAATAATCCCTTTAGAGCTCAAAGACAACTTTCTCTGTGTTTCTAAAAGCCAACATGATAATTAAGGGGTGCAGACTACTTATTTTTGTTATAATACAATAACGTCACTTCATTAAAGATGAAATAGTAATTTCAGGAGCCACTCGGCATCTCACAGAGGAGGCTTTCAAAGAATCCACCTGTTGTTGAGAAGCAGAAGCTCTGAGGTGTTTGCGTTTATTCTACCTCAAGTGTTTCAGGACTTCTGCATTAGAAGTGGAATAACTTTGCTCACACCCTTTGAATCAGTGTAGTGTTTGACAGTAAATCAGGACAGCACTTCCTGGCCACTTTATTAGGTACACCTATTAAAGCAGTACTGTAAAACAGATCTGGAACAAATTCTACATTTATAAAGACTACAATGTTCACTTTATGTAGTTGGTGTCAGAGAGGTGTTCAGGTCATTGATAGTGGTCTTTCTAATCTGTCTGATATTTACACTGTGTGGACACAACATTCGGATGAAGTCCAGTCCAACTGAACATTGTCTTTATAAAGGTAGAATTTATGGCTGCTCTGTTGTATTGGATTGCATTAGATTCTATAGGTGTTTCTAATAAAGTGGCTGCTCAGTGTGTATCCGCTTCATTTATTACAGATAAGCGTTTGTTGATGAACTCCAAAGGGTGAGACTGTGCATGTGCTGCAGTGAAATGAGCACCACCTGTTTCACTATCAACATGGTCACAGATGATATGGACATCAACATACAGGGCTCTTTACACCGCAGAAGCAGTGTGCACATTGTAAAGGAGGCGACAGTTGCCCACCAAAGAAATGTTTGACATTTTAGAGAAAAATAGCAGCATTTGCCTTTTAAAGACGCAACATTACACAGTCATAATCCTTTGCAGCTGTGATTAGCTGCTTCATTTCCTCCCTCTGCTTCATTGTAGGAGAATAGTGTATATCAACAAAATCAAGTGGAAAAATCAAGGCTTTTGTGCTTTATTTAGTCACTTTTCTGTGTGAACACAGTATGTGCTCAAAACCTGTTTATAGCTAGTATGAAGTATGGATTTGGGATTGAGGTCATGTGTATAGTCAATGAGTTATGATGCTATGAAACACCTATGTTCCTCTCATGGCAGGGCTTTACAGGTGTAAGGGAAGCCTATGTCACTGGTTTTGTATTCAGTAAAACTTTTGTGTCAACCATAAATCAAACAGCTGCTCTCTGAAAGTCACTGCGATCGTTGTCTTAGTGATATGTTGTTCCCAAGTGAAGCTGCCAAAGTTCAAATAATAATTGCAAACTGTGTTTACATGGCAGTTTTCAGCAACACATTGAACATGCTGTGTAGACATAAGAACAGGTTTGTGTGTGGTGACGCTCATCATGCTTTCCCTTGTACAGTAGGCGCCATCCTTTCATTAGAGAGTCGGAGGTTTGGTGTCAGCGGCGACAGGTGAACTGTATGTTCACACACAGCTTGTTTCAGTCAACCAGTGTGCAAGGTTTGACGTTTTCTACCAGGAGAAACAAGTGAGGTGGTTCAGGCACTACTATAAACATTATGGTGACATGGTAAAACCTGTTTTTGGAAAAGCTTTTCCATAACTGCCTGATATAGCTCTGTTGTAATACAAGCAGAGCACTAGTGGAGGTTGGCTCCCGAATGAACGGAGTTCTCTAAGAGATAGGGTGAGGAGCTCGGTCACCCGGGAGGAGCTCAGAGTAAAACCGCTGCTCCTCCACATCGAGAGGAGCCAGCTGAGGTGGCTCGGGCATCTGTTTCGGATGCCTCCTGGGCGCCTTCCTAGGGAGGTGTTCCGGGCATGTCCCACCGGGAGGAGGCCCCGGGGAAGACCCAGGACACGCTGGAGGGACTATGTCTCTCGGCTGGCCTGGGAACGCCTCGGCATGCCCCCGGAGGAGCTGGAGGAAGTGTCTGGAGAGAGGGAAGTCTGGGCATCTTTGCTTAGACTGCTGCCCCCGTGACCCGGTCCCGGATAAGCGGAGGAAAATGGATGGATGGATGGATGGAGTTCTGTCGGACACATCTTCTGTCATTAGGCTTCATCAAGTCAGCGATTTGTTAGGTGAATTATATGTACTTTAAATTAAGATTTCAGATGAAAAATGTTGGCTCCAGTCCCCACCCCCCCACGGCCCTCTTCAGGATAAACGGTGTAGATAATAGATGGATGGAAGGAAATGTGAACAGATCATTGGCTAGGAAATCAATTGATTGGGTGATGGCTCTCAAAAAATTAATTAAGTTATTTAATTTTTAAGAAAAAGAAAGC